ATTTGGATTTGATCAAATAAATCATTTTTTGATTTGAATTTGATTAAATCAAATATTCAAATATCAAATTGAATTGCAGAACCCTACCGATAGGTATCTGATTATATACAATTTAACTTCAAACTTGCATCCTGATTAATACCTGAATTTATACCAATTTCTGCCAAAAACTGACATCAATCGAAAGATCATTTTGGAGTCAATCAGATATCAATCAGGTATTTACTAGCCTGTTTTTTGATAACTGATTGATACCTGATTTGTCATTATTTTACCTGTAAAATAATATTATACCAAGTGCTTTACAACTAAGTTTCTTAGCTGAAATTATCACATCCTACTAAGAGAATCTAGAAAGTCTATCATAAGCTTTTTATATATTTTTCAAGATAGTTTTTTGCCTTTTTCTAGAAATAGATATTAATCTGTTTTTCCCTTTTATCTGAATCCTTGATCTGCATTATTTTATCTGATAAAAGCAATTGATACATATCATCTTTATTAATAAAGCGTGTGCACATTACTGTTGTTGTTCCTAAGTAATAATTGATATCTATTTCCATGTTTTGCTCTTTTGTGATATCTGCATACTTCATAAAATCGCTAACTCTATATAGCTCCTTTCTACCTTCTTTATTATAAAGAGGTGATCCTTTTATAACAATATAGCTAAAGCGTTCATCAGAATCAGGAATTCTCTTATTTCTTTCTCTCATATATTCCATAAAGCGATTGTTGCAGAGATTTTTTTCTTAGACTTACATATACCCATTATGATAAATTCATTGAAATCCTATTCCTTATTCTAGCTTTCTCTAAGAGTATCTTCAACAATTTCATGAATTGGACGCATATTATTTATATCTATAACCTCTTTCATAATCTTTTCTCCAATGAATTTAAGAAGCTGAAATTTACTTTGCTTTACAGTTTCTATCCCTTTTATGAAAAGTTTTTCAGCTTAAAGTTTACTACATCTTCATGCCCAACTCCAAAGTACTTCTTTTTACCAGTAAAGTAGACGGGAAATAATACCTCTTTATATGCTATCTTTAGATAAGATGTTCCACTTTTTTTCTAAGATAAGCATTTACTTGAACACATAACTTTCTTATAATATTCATAGTAATTTTGATCATTTCAGTCCAATACGCTTTTTTGGAAAGTTCTTTTCTGGAGAAGGCTTTATTGCATTTCTCGTAATATCTATTCAGACAGGTAAGATACAAAAAATCAGTATCCTTATATTTTATTCCAAACTAAAGATGGTAGCCTTTATGAATATGTTGCAACATACCACTGTTATAACATATGTTACAACATAGTTGCAACATTTGAAAAAATTTATTAATTTGTTGCAACATGTATTAATTTGTTAATTAGTTGCAACATTTATTTGATTGGAAAATTATTTTTTCATCAAACGATTTAAGCATTATTCGATTAGAACGATCCAAAATATCATTTCATCAAACGATTTAAGCATTGTTCGATTGGAACGATCAAAATATCATTTTATCGAACGATTTAAGCATCATTTGATGGAACAATCCAAAATATCATTCCAATCAAACGATTTAAGCATCGTTTGATTGGAATGATCTAAAATATCATTCCATCAAACGATTTAAGCATTGTTCGATTGGAACGATCAAAATATCATTCCATTGAACGATTTAAGCATCGTTTGATGGAACGATCCAAAATATCATTCCAATCGAACGATTTAAGTATCATTTGATGGAATAATCATAAATATCTTTCCATTGAATGATAAATGAATCGTTTGATTAGAACGATTTCATCAATTAAATCACAATTAAATCATAAACTTTAATCACAAATC